TGTTCTTCAGTGGTCAGGACCCCCATGGACCCTCACAGACCAGGTACTATTTGGGTGGTGGATCATTCTCAGCACTGCAGTAACACTGACGTGGTGGTGGTGTGTTAGTGTGTGTTGTGCTGGTACGAGTGGATCAGACACAGCAGTGCTGCTGGAGTTTTTAAACACTGTGTCCACTCACTGTCCACTCTATTAGACACTCATACCTTGTCGGTCCACCTTGTAGATGTAAAGTCAGAGACGATTGCTCATCTGCTGCTGCACAGTTTGAAACTCCCTTTTTATCCATATGGTTTGAGCGATTTGAAAAATATTGAAAAAAAAATTGTGATCAGAGGACATGGAAATGTAATGATCCAGATATGGGCATTAACAATTCTCCCTTTTTGTCTTTCATCTCTTTCATCTTTTTCTTTTTTTTTTAAGAAGTTCTTAAGAGCTGTTAGCTGCACAAATGATCTCTCGACTAAAGCATTTTTTATCCCATTCCTCCAGGATAGTCCTACATCAGCTTACATATTTAAAGACATGAAAGCTGACGTCTGACTTCACTTTTCACAGCCGCACTGTATTAAAGTCGTAAAAAAGCCTTTTTGTTTTCAGTTTTCATGCCGTACGGGACGGAGAAGTAGCCACGCTGGGATCGTCCACTGCTGAGTGGATAATAGAAGAAGCAATGTATTTCACAATAATTCAATCGTCCTAATTAGGTCTGGTTTGGAAGATGGCATGAAATGATTCCAAATTCCAGAAAGAAGTGGAATTAATCAGGAACTACTTGAATTTTTATCTGAAGGCAGGGATAACAGTCCTCATTACAAACTTAATACAGTGATTCTAATCTCATAATCTCTTATTTGAGAAGCCATAATTTGTTCAGTCTTTGTGACAAGATAATATTCGGATCTACCTGCAGCTTCTTTCGTCCTCCTTTTGTTTTGGTGAGTAGTGTGAAAATTTTCCCAACATGATATCAGTCACTGAAATCAGCGGTTTTCTATAACATTTGTGGTGTTGTTAAAGGGGAATTCCACCAGTTTTTCAAAAATACTTCAGTCATTCAGAATGTTTTAGTGTGAAATGGATCACTGTTGAGAAACCTACTGACTTTTTTACAGTAGTGGTGATAGGAACCAGGAGTCATGATGTCTACATTTTATTTACCATCCCAACCATCTTTGACTCTACACACAACTGAGGTTTTATATGTTTATATGTTCAATATGTTAACATATTGGGAAATAGTTGGAAAGCTGGACAAAATCAGTTTTCTTTGGGGACTATTTTGACTAAATACGGCCTGCACATATCCCTCCACCAACAATGGATATAAAAATATATAAGTTTAAGGCCAAAACCTTTTCAAAACTATCATAAAACAGTGTCTTGGGCATCGGGCAACGTATTCATAATCATTTCATATAATAAGGAGGAAGCTTTTAGAAAGTGGACGTCTGGTTCCTGTCTAGTTTCTCTACAATGGACCATTTCACAAACCACTGTGGATGACTGTTTATATATGAACCATTTAATTATGCAGAAAGTGGTGCACTGGTGCAATTATGTATGATACATGATACGTCAATATGATATCAGCACATCATATCATAAAATATACATAAGTAGAATATCAACGATCACAACAAGAGTTCACAAATGTACACTTAAAATAATGTAAGGTATATCCTAATCACAGTGGTCACACCAAGGATGTATATAATCTACACTTAACATATTGCAAGGTATAGAATATCAACGGTCACACCAAGGATCTACTAATGTATTCTTAACATATTGTAAGGTAATAACAGTACATATCAAAAGAATATAAATGGTCACACCAAGGATTTACTAATGTAATCTTAACATATTGTAAGTTATATCATAATCACCATACATATTAATAGAATATCAATGGCCACACCAAGGATTCCCTAATATTGTAAGGGATACTGTAATCACAGAATATGTTAAAAGAGCATCGATGGTCACACCAAGGATGTACCAATGTGTTCCTAACATATTGTAAGGCAGATCGTAATCATAGTATATATTAATAGAATATGAATGGTCACACCAAGGATTTATTAATGTATACTTAACATATATTGGAATAACAGTATATATTAATAGAATTTCAATGGTCACACTGAGGATTTACCAATGTTTTCTTAACATATTGTAAGGTATGTGTTAATCACAGTATTGCGCAATATGATGACAATGGTCACACCAAGGACTCATCAGCATTTTTCAGTGTCAAGATCAAACCACAGTGAAAGACCTTGTTCTTTATTGTTTCATTATGCAAATATTTTTGTTTAAAGCGGTGAAATTCCACCTTAAATTGTACTGAAAATATTTAAGAAGCCTGTAAGAAACCATTTTACCACAGTCCTTGTATTGACAAGGCTTATTGAACGTCTTACGTTTTATTATAGCACCAAAAAAAAGTGAATAAATGAATAGAACATTATCACCAGCACTGCTACTGTTTACTGTTCAGATATACAGCATAATGGTGTAAATGTGTTTTTCTGATAGTAATAATATTGTTTAGTCTTTTTTAGTTGCAGAATCTCAAAGTGATTTACATTGTAAAGCTAAAATCTGGCTTAAATAAAAAAAATAAATAAATAAATAAACTAAGAAAAAAGTGAAACCAGCAGTAAAAAACACTGATCATATACGGTTACCGGAATGATTCAAATCTGAAACGGTATGATTATCATTGAGTGAATCTGAGCCCGTTTTTGAGCGAGGAGACTGTAGCGAGACAGTGTTGTAAGGAAAGAGTGGTCACTAATTTATGCCGGAGAGGATGACTAAGTTATTGCATCAGATAGGTTGAGGGTTCTTGTGGGCGGTGGAGGCATTGGCGGAGTCAGATCGTTCTATTTACATTGCGGAATACTGCTGCCGTTCTAGAGTGTCTGGCAGGTTCCGGGTTCCAAAGCCTGGCCAGACATTCTGGAATATCGTTTCTGGACTGAGCGGAACAAGCCTTTCCCAGAGGAAGCACTCCAGGCCTGTGGCTTTTTTATAGCGACTCTGGCAGCTGGTTGATGGAGCTGGGGGTGGAGGAGGGGGCTTCTCAGCACGCACAGGGATGCTGTGTGTTGGTGAGACGCTAGAAATTACACCTGCAGTGGAGCTTCAGCTTCTTTTATTTATCGTTATCACGATACTGGCCTTTGAAATCCTGAAAGCTGAGATATGCAAATGAGGCCTCTAACCAATCACATTTTTACTGTGTACTGTGAGCATCATGATTCACCAATGTATCATTACATATAAAGTAATGTAAGTCATATCATCATCACAGTATGTATTAATCGAATAGCACTGGTCACACCAAGGATTCAGTAATATGTTCTTAACATATGGTAAGTTATGTCATAATCACAGGATGTAGTAATACAATATTAATGGTCACAGCAAGGTTTCACTAATGTATGTTTAACATAAGTATGTATTAATATAATAGCAATGGTCACACCGGGGACTCAGGTATTCTTAATTTACTGTGAGTTATCAATAATCACAGTATGTATAGATATAATAGCAGTGGTCACACTGAGGACTCCGGTGTTCTTAATTTACTGTAAGTTATCAAAAATCACAGTATGTATCAATATTAATAGCAATGGTCACACCGAGGACTCAGGTATTCTTAATTTACTGTAATATCTTGTCATCACAATATGCATCAGTATAATATCACACCAAGGGTTCATTAATGTATTCCTAATATTTTGTAAATGATATTGCAATAACAGTATGTATTAGTATAATATCAATGGTCACACCAAGGATTCATTACCCTATTCTTAACATGTTGGAAGTTATATTGTAATCACAGTTGATATTAATGTATCAATGGTCACACCAAGGATTTATTAATGTATTCTTAACAAATTGGATGTTATATTGCAATAATAGTATGTATTAACAGAATGTCAGTGGTTACACTTAGGATTCATTACTGTATTTTAACATATTTGAAGCTATATTGTAATCACAGTATGTTTTAATACAATATCAATGGTCACACCAAAGTTTCATTAATGTATTCTTAACATAATGTCAGTTGTATCATAATTGCAGTATGTATTAAAAAAATAGCAATGGTCACACCAAAGATTCACTAATGATTTCTCAACATATTGTGAGTTCTCCTGTAATAACAGCACATATCGATATAATATCAATGGTCACACCGAGGATTCACTCATGCATTCTTAACATAATGTAAGATATATCATACACTATATATAGAATATCACCATCAGTGTGAACAATTCTGACTCCATAATTGATCACAGTATACCTCAATGGTCACACCAAGGACTCATTCCAAGTCATTCTAAATTATGTAACAATGGTATAGCACTGGTCACACCGAGGACTCACATGTGCTACACATTACATTCTGATATAGTGCAAAATACAGAATTATCATGATGCGTAGCAATATAATCGCAATGTTTTATTTCGCCCATATCGTGCAGGTCTGGTCCACACCCATGGGCTTTCACACGGTCATCGATTCAGCACCGTTACCATGTGAACAGCGCTTGGAAAATACAAGAGATGCTTCAGCACTGCCGGGTCCTGGCTACCTACACGCTGTGAACCCAGATATAAACGAATATCAGACAATTTTGGTGCGATTTTAGTGCCAGTGACACTTTTCAGCATCTAAAAGGTTCAGTGGATCCCATAAAAGACCACAGCGAGAACCTGCTAGCAGCCGGCAAGGCCACCGCCCTGGACCGGGGGAGGGAAAAAAAAGAGAAAAGAAGGATGGGTGTTGGTGGTGGTGTTGTGTAAAAGGAGGGGTTGGGAATAGTCTACGGACAGATTGGACATATTCAGTCATTCATAGCCTAGGAAAGGCAAGGAAGGGTGGGGTTAGAGCCTAAGCTTGTGGAAAGAGGGAAAAGAGGGGGGGCTACAATGGGTGGGTTCATGAGCGTGCGAGGGAGAGAGTGAGAGAGAGAGAGAGAGAGAGAGAGAGAGATAGGAGGGGTTTATAGGGTGGGTTTAGTAGTCATTGTTAGGCGGCGCGTCTCACAGCGGACTACCGGCGGAGTGCGTGTGTGTGCGTGTGGGCCAAGTGTAATGAGTAAAAGCATCAGACGCCTCAGCTGTTGATACAGCCGGGAGTGTGTGTGAGCGAGAGAGAGAGAGAGAGAGAGAGAGAGAGTGTGAGAGAGAGAGAGGGAGCGTGAGAGGAGAAGTGCAGAAAAGGAAGGCAAAAGAAGGCGGAAAAAAAGAGAAGAGAGAAGGAAAAAAAGGATACTCCAAGTATGCTGTGCTGTATAAGAAGAACAAAGCCGGTAAATATTCCTCAGTCTTTCCTGTGGTTAGTAGTTTGGGATTTTGAGACTTTGGGATTGGGATTTTTTTTAAAGGCTCAGACTTCTTCGCTCCTCAGCTAGCTTTGGGTGTGTGGGGGGAGAAAAGAAGAAGCCTCCTGACACGCCTTGCTAATGTAATTAAGGTGGTGACAGCTCAGTGAGCCTGGAGCTCTCGGCTTCTCTTTATGGCACTTTTTTAAAAATGCTGTACCCAAAAAGGAGCTAGGAATCAAAACGTGCCCAGGTGCCATTGTGGCAGCGCGTCGATTACTGCAAGTTTGGATTTAAGAGCAGAACCGCACATTTGCATGATGCACGGTTGCTTTTGAGGGAAGCATGAATGCAAAGCTTGCATTATTGCTTTTAAGGTGAATGCGGGTGCAGATTGCATTGCATTGCATTGCATAGCGAGGACCGGGGTGTAAGTTAGAGCTGTAAAAGAGTGAGAGAGGGGGGAAGAAAAAGGGTGGGGTGCAGACTGGCTGCACCCAAGTGGCAGTTGCATGGAGGGTACACATGCACTGGTGATTTGGGGGCTACCTTTGGACAAAATTGGACATTTCTGCAAGCCTGTTTTTTGGGTTTTTTTTTTCATTTTCTGTCTTTTTGGATGGATGAATAGGTGGATGGATAGATGGATGGGTGGGTGGGTCCAGGGGCATCTGGCTTCACTCCTCAGCGGTCTCGTGCCTTATTTTGTCAGTGACCCGTGCATGCATACCAGCGCAAGTTGCTGTTATATGTTTATTCCCATTTTTTCCTTGTTTTGGGAGCGTGAGGCTTCGCTCTCATCCCGCTGCATTGCAATGCCAAACCAACACCCCATGCACTCGTGCGCGCGCACTCGCACGCTGCATGCATGCAGTCTCGCGCGAAACCGGCGTGACGATCGACGCGCCGGAAAAGTAGAGCAACGGTGAGGTCATGAAGTGCAGGTGGCAGGAGGAGGAGGAGTGATAAGGGGCAGGTGGGGGGGAGGTGGGTGGGATAAGAAGGGGGGGGGTGGATTTCTTTTGTTCTCGGAGAGATGAAGCCGGTTGTTCAGAGCGAGGCGAGGCACGTGTGACGTGAGCGCCCGGCAAGATGTAGGCTTGGAGATCCGTGGTGGGAAAATCCGCGGAAAAGGGAAAAAAGGGCGTGGCAGGAGGAGAGGAGGATTCACTGCAGAGAGAGCGAGGGCGAGCGAGGTAGAGATGGAGAGAGGGAGACTGAGAGAAAGGGAGAGAGAGAGAAAACGGAACACCCTTTCCGATTAAATCCAGGCAGACGGAGGATGTCCACAGCTGGGGTCTTCAGCCAGCCGGCAGCTTTAGGCACATGTCTGCCTTAATCGGCAACTAATGATTTCTTCTTCCTCTGTTCCGCTTTCTGTCTCCCCTCCTCAGCCTGAAATCCCTAATGGATCCGTATGTGTGGGGGTGGGGGAGGTGTATATTCTCCCACACATAGTCAGACAAGCCACACCTCCTGGTCAATCCCAGTGGAGGTATTGCTAGCTGATCCCAGTGCAAGAGGTACGGTCACTTTTAGGCAATAGTTAGCTAGATAATCATCTGGAGGCAGGGCAATGGAGGAGGTGGGGCTACTGCTAATAATTGTAGCTCAGTAAGCTGAGGAGATTGAACATGGCTAGCCCATTGTGGCTCAGGACGATGGGATACTGCTCGCCATCATCAGGAGGTGAGCTACACAGTTTAGATACTCAGGAGGCACATTACCAAGGAGGTAGGACATTACACACCCAACACTGCTCAGGAGGTAGAACATTACACACCCAGCCCAGTTTAGGAGGTAGAACATTACAAACCCAACACAGTTCGGGAGGTAGAACCTTACAAATCCAGTGCGGTTTGGGAGGTAGAACATTACAAACCTATCCCAGTTTGGGAGGTAGAACATTACAAACCCAACCCAGTTTGGGAGGTAGGACATTACAAACCCAGCCCAGTTTGGGAGGTAGGACATTACAAACCCAGTCCAGTTTGGGAGGTAGAACCTTACAAACCCAAACCAGCTTGGGAGGTAGGACATTACAAACCCAAACCAGCTTGGGAGGTTGAACATTACAAACCTCACCCAGTTTGGGAGGTAGGACATTACAAACCCAGCCCAGTTTGGGAGGTAGAACCTTACAAACCCAACACAGCTCAGGAGGTAGAACCTTACAAACCCAAACCAGCTTGGGAGGTAGAACATTACAAATCCAGCCCAGTTTAGGTGGTAGACCATTACAAATCCAACTCAGTTTGTTAGATAGAACATTACAAACCCAAACCAGCTTGGGAGGTTGAACATTACAAACCTCACCCAGTTTGGGAGGTAGAACATTACAAACCCAACCCAGTTTGGGTGGTAGACCATTACAAACCCAACCCAGTTTTGGAGGTAGGACATTACAAACCCAACCCAGTTTAAGAGGTAGACCATTACAAACCCAACCAAATATGGGAGGTGGAACATTACAAACCCAGCCCAGTTTGGGGGGTAGAACATGGGGATGATCATCAGGAAGCATGGCCAGTTTCTAGCTAATCATCTGGGCTGGGCTTATGCCAGACGGTTCTAGCTTGGCTTGCTCAAGAGGAAGAACATTACACACCCAACCTAGTTCGAGAGGTGGGGCAATTGCTTGCCAGTTTTCAGGAAGCGAGACTACTGCTACACCTCAGAAGGTGGGGCTACTGCTTACACAGTCCAGCTAGCTCAGGAGGTTGAACAGTACTAGCCCATTCTAGCTTGAGAGGTGGAGATACTACTCCCCAATCATAAGAAGGCAAGCCTATGGCTAGCAAACCTTCAGGAGGCAGGGCTTCTAGCTACTCAACAGGCTACAGGTCTACTAGTGGCTATACTAGCTCAGGCGACGGGGCTACTGCTCGCCAGTCATCAGGAAACATAGGCTCATCTGGCCAATCATCAGGAGACAGGGCCATTGCTAGAAAAGTCTAGCTCAGCTTCCTCAGGAGATGGAGAATTACTTAGCCCATCCTAGCTCCTACCCTGGCTCTTGCCATTAGCCAATCACAGCATAAGAGGTGGGGGACTACTAGCCAATCCCAGCACACGAAGCAGGTTGTTGCTAGCCACTCTCAGGCCAGGAGGCAGGGCTGCAGGTAATTGTAAGGCTTTGGGATCTCATTAGCCAATCCAAGGCCAAAAAGCTTGGAAACTACTGCCCAGTCCCAGCGACTGCTTGCCAATTCTGCCTCAGGAGGTGCGGTTTTGTCAGAAGGAAGGTGGGGAGAAGAAATAAAGCAAGATTTAAAGCTGTATCTCCCACTGGGGCGTGGCCCTCAGTGCTATTACACCAACACACCACCATAAAAGACACACGGCTTATTGAACACAGGCCATGAAATCTGCAGCTACTTTTACACTGAGGACAATTCATGTGTGAAAACGCACTGTGGCAACAGCAGACACCTACACAGGCACCTGCAGTGTCCCAGATTTGCATGCGCCGGGTCCCTTTTAATGTTCCGCTGCATTTCAGATTGTGCTATGAAAGTGATAATAATAGAAATATATGGATGGGTAACAGATTATGACAGATTATTTCAAAGCCGTCCTGTTCAGAGGCATCGTTTTGTATAGGAAGAGCGGTTTCGGATCAATAGATGGTACTATGAGTCATCGTTTGGAGCAGCAGCTGATTGAGACCTTGGTAGAGATTGGAGAATCACACAGGTTTTGTGGGTGCATTTGTTATATTTCATTGGTCATTTGAATGAGCTTCAGCAGATTATTATATAGTAGAAGCTTCAGAGAATGAATATGACTTGTATGGTATTTTCCGTTAATGGTTAATTACTTTAAGGATGAATTAAATGTGTAACAAAGTCCAAAAATAAGGTCCACATATAACCCTTAGACGTCAACAGTTATTCTGGTTGTTTTGCTATAACTGCATAAAATCTACGTAATTATCAGGAAGGCTTGTATGGCCAATCATCGGGAGACTATTACTAGAAAAGTCTAGCTCAGCTCTCTCAGGAAATACATGTACACGGCTTATATATACGGCATGTTTATGTCAAAAAATGTAAAGGCTGTTTCTTTTTTCCACAAAACAGGAAAACGGTAACTTTCCATTAAAATCAAGTCATGATAAAGGACTTTTTCACTTATGTGGTATGAGTGAAATGTTAGAATCAGTGCTTTCCACTTAACCTCGCTGCTTGTTTCCAAGAGCTACAAGCTGCTACTACAATTCATAAAAAAGTAGCCGCACTTCCAAGGGTTAATGCTGGTGTTGGCCACTGGGAGACCTGCTGATACAGTCGGCTGGAAATCAAGGCCGTGACACGGTGGTAATTCAGAGTGTTAGTGGAGGATGGGAAAATGTATTCAGCGCTAACCTTAAAGCCCTACCCCCTCTTCAAACACCTCCGCCGCCCCTGTCTCGTAACCGTCCCGCTGAGTTATGGCTGCGCGCCAATGAAGTCGCTCTGAACGGCGTGTTCGGTGTCAATCATTTTGATTGGACACGCTTTCCTCTAACAGGCCTGGACTGATCGCAGCCAGACGGTCACTCTGTCAGTCTTCATACCCGGCCGCCTGTCTCGGGCAATTGATTTGAGGCCGGCACCTCTATTAGGGCAAATATTGCCTCTATTTCAAAGTGTTCCAGTGTTCCAGTGTTACTCGCATTGCTCCTCAAATTGACCTGTCCATGATCCGCCCACGGCTATGTTCGTTCGAATCAACTGTTGCCAGGTTGAAGAAGCTTTAGAGAATGTTGGCATTCAACTTAATGAGAAACTAGCCTCACAAATTAGATACATTTTCAAGATAAGTTATTTCATTTTAAATACAGTGGTTTTTAATGTCGTAATGAAAACGTAGCGTACAACTCAACTTGGTGCTATTCAGTTCTTTGGATGTCTAAGTCACAATGCTAGTATAGCTTGTGCATAGCTTTTTCCATGTATTTTTAGCTAACATTAGCATGCCTAGCCCTGATTGGCTACAACAACATC